CCTGCCCACGTGACTAGGTCCCGAAGGTCCCCGCGGCGCGCGGCTGAGGGCGCTGTGCCTGCAGACGCCATGGTTGCCGGGCTCTTCCCCGCCCTTAGGTGAGTCCTTGCGCCGCGCACCTCTGCCTGGAGAGCGTGGCCTGAGTGGTCGCTTGCCCACCGCATACCCCTCTGCTGCCGCTGTCGCCGCGGCCCGCCGCGCTTCCGACTCTTCCGGGCTTGTTTTCAGGGCCCTGGCCGGCCCTGCTGGTCTGGCGGCGCCCGGTCTTGGCTGCGCCCTTGACCTCAGCTGTCCCTATGCCAGGCTTAACCTCCATCCGTCAGCTTCTTTGTGTGTCCCCAGCTGCCTGGCAGGAGTCTGGTGGTTTTCTCTTGGCGAGCACGAATACGTAAAACAAAACCGGCGAATGACACCCAAGGACGTTTGTTTGCCGAGGGAACACTTTCAGACCTGAAAGCCCAGACTTTCAGACCAGAGAGCCCACTCAAAGGGAGAAGGTGTGGAAGGGTGTTTTTGGGAGCGAGTAGTAAATCTTTAACAGGGTTTTCCCCTAAAATACTTGTGAATACGTGGATTTAAATACTGATCCTCTCTTGCATCTCTCAGTGGCTGTATCTGTCATGTAGGTTATGAGTTGCTTGTTTTTTTTTCTAGGTGTGCAATAGCTTTGTGGGTTTTTAAAGTTTCTTTTAAAGGTTTTTTTTCTGCCCTGTGAATTTGAAAAAGTTAGTCTCCTCAGATGTCTTATCTATAATGAAAAAGTAAATAAAGGTCACAGAATGTTAGGAGTTGGAAGGGACCTCGAAAGCTCATCCACTCCAACCCCTGCCAGAGCAGGATCACCCAGACCAGGTCACACAGGAACACGGCCAGGCGGGTTTTGAATGTCTGCAGAGAAGGAGACTCCACAACCTCTCTGGGCAGCCTGGGCCATGCTCTGGCACCATCACAGTAAAAAAAGCTTTTCGTTATGTTCAGGTTGAACCTCCTGTGCTCCAGCTGCTCCCATTTCCCCTTGTCCAATCATTTGACATCACAGAGAAGAGCCTGGCTCCCTCCTGACACTCACACATTTGACTCAAGTCAAATATTCTTTTCCTGTCTTCCATTTTGCAGATAGAGTATTGTGACCGTCAGATTTCTTTAGCAATACCTTCCCTTTGACGATCACAGTCTACTAAGAGAGATGCATTGATAGTCATAACATGAACTGAACTGTTGCTGCTTTTGATTCTTTCAGGTTTGTCATCAAAGGAAGCCTGGCCGGAGCTGCTGTATATGTGGCATATGATCAGGGGCTGCTGGGCAGTGGCACTCAAGGTGCTGAAGCCCTCAGGAAAGCTCAAGCAGCACTCCCTCCAGCTATCCAGGAGTGGACAAGTTACATAGGCTGGGAGGTAAGGACTGCGCAGATGAACACAGTCAGCAAAACAAACGCATCCTGTAAATGAGGAGGAGAAGACATTGGGTTGATATTCTGGTTCTAGTGGTGCTGGCAGGAGTTTTGCTATTGAAACTGGATTTCACATTGAGAATATTTTGAAGACCATTGAAATGGAAGTAGGATAAAATTTTAAGTTTAGGGGAGAGACATTGCTCACAGATGTTATTTCAAGGGAGAAGGGGTAACTGGCCTCTGCAGTGTTAAGAAGGGGATTGCAGACATGCTCTGGGAGATATTTCACTATGTAGTGGTATTCCTAAGCTTCTTTTGAAGGCTCCTACATGCTATTAAAAAATTAGTGAAAAGATTCTCTACCCAGTTTCTCGAGCTGCTGACAGTTCATCAGGTTGAAACTAAATTGCCTGAAGAGTCCCTTCTCTTTGAGTAATTCTTAATTTTTAAAATCCCCAGAAAATGAGAAGCCTTTGCTGAAAGTGTGAAAAGCATTTTTCATGTTGGACACTATTCTGAACTAATTGGTAAGCACGCAGACATGGAGATGATTTTTGAGGAGGACTCAAATGATAAGTACTATCTTCTGCCCCTACTTTATACTGGGGGAAAGAGCAAAGTCCAGGCTTTAAGCCTCATGTGTGATTCCTTCTGAGACTTAGGGAGGGTAGGCACCTAAATATCTTTGAGACCTGAGGTCAAGAGGCTTCTCCAAGGTGGTGTGAATCCTGTTATAAGTGAAACCCCTCAAGTGCTGATACTTTTATCTCTCTTTCTCTTTGTAGCTCCCACCCACTCCAAAATTTGACTTTTCCCCCTCTGATTCCTGGAATAAAGGTAAACTAACTTGTCACCAAGCTATGAAAGGAGCAAAGGGCCAAGAGTGATGTTGCTTACACCAGTCTTGTTTCAATACTGTCCTCCAAAATTGAATGTTGGGGAAGGAGGTGATAGATGTTACAGTCTGGTGGAAGGAGCATTGGGACTGGGACTAAGGAAGCATATTCTGCTCTAGGTTTTATTGCTAGCACACTGAGTGACTTTGGACTTAATTTCTTGTTGTTCCAACTGTGAAATAAGGAGAATGTGTGCCCATAAAGCTCTCTGCCTTTTCTAACCAGAGGAGCTGGTGTGTTTTTACCTACAGAGCTTGGTGCCCACCTGTGCCCCAAGACAGGCATGCCTACGTATCCTAGAATCAAAGATTGAATGTTTCTGTGAAGTGTCTGGGGAGGCCTGTGACCCCCCCCAGTAAATAGATAAAGAGTTTATGCACTGGTGAGTTCGTCAACACTGGCAGTGAGCAGGGAAACGAGAGCATAAAGATAACTCATTCTTAAGAAAGGTGAGCCTTTGGTTAAAGACTGAAGAGTTTATAAACTCTTCAGATGGTAGTATGTCTGAACTCAGCCTCTGACTTTTCATGAGGGATGAGGATCCCCATTATTGCTGGAATTGTAGAGCTCTTGTTTGAAGACCAAAGCATTTCATAAATACCTAATTTGTTGTTTTTATGGTGCTGCAAGAAGTCTTCATGTAATTGTGGGGAAACATGGTCCACATCACCTGTGGAGTCTGTGGCAAGGCCAGAAATAAAATGGAACTTAGCTCAGTGCTTTGTTTCAGTCTTGTAATTGTCTATGCCTTATACTGGTCTTGGAAGCTGGAATTTCTGTGTCACAAATGCTACTGAGACAATAAAGCTGTACTTGAAACAAGGATCATTCGGGCCTCAGTGTGTTTGGAAGCTTCTGAGAGTGAGCTAGATTTTTGTCAATGTTTAAAGAGATCTGCAATGCTAGAATAATATTAAGAAATTTGGCTTGAATTATGCTCTTCTTGAGATAATTCTTCTCTGCTTTCCTTGCAGGAGTGCAGACAGTCGTGTCTGCCTTGTCTGTAGCTCCCACCAGGGCCTGTGAATATGCTGTGGAAGGCTGGAAGCATGTGAAAAATCTTGTCAAATGAACGTGTTCTCCAGTGTTCATGATTCTCTCCATCCTGTGTTGTCTTTGGGATGATGCATAGTCCATCCTCCTACACGGCAGCTCAGCCATGAGCTGCAATAAAAGACTTTGGAACTTCCATTTGTATTTGGGTTGGTTTCGGCAATAGGGACTGCAATAATTGCTTTCTGTCACCAGTGATCAGAGGCTTCATTACAGCTGATCCATGATCTCCACTGAGTTGATGGCCATATGCTGAGGTATAGCCCCTGTTCTAAAGCTGCCAAGCTTGCTAACTAAACAGATTATTCTGAAGCTGAATTAATCTTGAAGGTAAATGCCATCTAATTCAAAACAAGGCAACAAGAGTTAAAAATAAATGGAAGATAACAGTACAAGATGTCTTTAAAAGACAGAGTGCCTTTGTCAGACAAAGAGCGCATTATTGATGTGAAAGCTGCTTCCCAGTGGTCTGTGATTTGTCACACCACTGGAAGTAGCTATTACTAGTTGCAATACTTAGTGTTGATGTCAGTGTGCAATAGAAGGGAGTTAAGTCTGTGATGCAAAACTGTTAGCAAGTCATAGGAAGCTTTAACCCCCCCCTAGTCTTTTTGGCCTGTTTTTAGTACCCGAGCTCAAATGGCAAAATCGCAGCACACTAACTTTTCCAGCAACTGATCCAAATATATCCTTGGATGCATAGTCAGCCAGTAGCACTGTCAAATTTACACCTGTGTCTGAATTCTCAGCTGCACAGCATAGGTTATTTGGAGGCGAGGGTTTAGATTTTAAATTTTACCAGCTAAAACTAAGTGGATTCAGTTTGTCTCTTGACTGGAAAATCTGTCTGCTGGCTTATTTAATGCCTGTAAAATAGGGCTGGAAGTACCTTTAGGATACTGACACCTCTGTGTGTAAAGCTGAGCAAGACAGAGAATGGAAATGGGAAGAGAGTCCCCATGGAAGGGAGAACGAGGCTGACGGATTTCTGACTTCATCTAAACCTAGTGACCCAGTGAAGACTTAGGCAGAGGTAGCTCAGGAACAGAGTCCATTGAGTGCGACAGTGTCTTTGTGTATTACAAGTTCTTTGCAAAGAATGATGCTACTCTGCAGCTGAGCTATAAGCAAATACATGAACATGAGCTCAACTCAGAGCTGGCCACTGAATAACTCTGCAATCTGCATGGACATTTTTTCATGTCCTTATTTTTTGAATGCCTAGAGACTTCAATGCATATCTTTTTGAATGCCTACTGAACTTTCTGCTATTTTTTTTAACAGAAACCTTGTTTGCTGGTAAAAAAAAATACAAAATGGGAGACTGGAAGGGAGGTTCCTCGAAAGCAAGAATATTCTATTGCTATCTCTTCTTCCACAGGAGGATAGCTCCTCTGAAGAGGAGGAGCAGCAAGGATTACTTCTCACTTCCTTGCCAAAATATGAGTAGGTCCAGAATATGCTGAAAGTAACAGCTAGCTGGCAAATCAACAAAAGAAATAGGGTAAATTTCACCTGGAAGGGACCATCATGAACATGTAACCGAGTACCAAGGACATACGGAGAAGAACCAGAGTTAGCAGTGAGAAAATGATCAGTTTTCAGTCACAGCCAAGGCATAGATAAGGAGCACTGATGGCCTAGAGGGCATTAGTACTGTAACATGGCGTCACAGATTTATTACGTATTTTTAACCCTTTGCAATGGGCTTGTGGCGTGAGGTTGCAGAGGTCATTATGACATGGTGTGGCGTCACTATGAATCTGTTCCCTCTTCAGAGGAAGCATCTGTGCGTATATTGGATGAGGAGTTGTAAACACACAGCTTGTAACCTCTCTGTCCTCAGGTCTGTGTCCCAGAGCTGCTGGTCATGCTTCCAAAACTAGGAAGAGAGGTTGTCCTTCATGCTGACACCAGAGGCAGCATTTCTCCCACACTAATGTGCTAACACAGTTGCATTTTTCTAGTCTGCTAGTCACAGAATGAGCCAAGACACAGCTGCAGGATGGGAAATAGGAGCAGTAGGGATCAGTGCTTACTTAGATTAGGAAGCAGACTTAAAACACAAGAAGTATTTGCAGGGGTTTTGTTTCCTTTTTTAAACAAAGGGTTATATGATGAAACTTACTGCCAAGAGAATTGGAGGATTTGGCGAGGGTATAAATAGTTTTAAAAGTGCTTAAGTTAATTCCTGGAGGATGGGTCCATCTTAAACCTAATGGTCCAGATGGAAGCTACAGCTCATTAAATCTTGGGAGTACCAGACAGCAGGAGTTTATCACTTGATGAAGAATTGCTTTACACTCACCCTGGTCCAGCATGGTTTTCTTTATGGACATGCATCTAAAAGAGAAATAATACTGAATGGGAAGGACTTTTTCGTCTGACCCAGTACATCTATGCTCCTCTTACTACAGCTCAATGACAATGTGGACCTTTGATAAGGAACTGATCCTGTCATGTAATTGCTTGGTTTAAGTAGAATGTTTTGCCGAGTCTAGTGTGTGACCTATAGAAATAATTGGAGGTAAGACAGGGTGCTAATTGGATTCCATTGCTGAGCAGGCAGAGTGGCAGTGTAGAAACTGACTTGTTAAAATAGTACCTGTGCTGCAGCTCACAGAATCACTGAGCTTGGAAGCGACCGCCTGAGATAATCTAGTTCAACCTCTGTGCTCGAGCAAGGTCAAGTAGACCAGGTTGCCCAGGACCATGTCCAGCCAGATTTTGAATGTCTCAAAAGATGCAGACTCCACAACCTCTCTGGACAGCCTATACCACTGTTTGCCTGCCCTCGTAGTAAAGAAGTGTTTTGTTTGGCTCACCCAGTACCTTTGCTGTTTCTGAACATGACAACATTGGATACTGCGAATGTGGCCTGGCACCACTACAGCAAACAGGTCTCACAAAAAAAGCTGGCATTAGCGGGTAGGTCTAAAAACTCCCCAGTGCATTTTGTAGGTGTGTACGCTATTTTTGCATAAGTATCCAGTCCTCCTTTCCACTTTTTTTCCTCACAGATGTTTTATAATAATGACTTTCACAGGCTACCTTTTGCTGTCACCAGTTATCACAGAATCACAGAATCACTCGGTTGGAAAAGACCTCCGAGATCATCACGTCCAACCGTTCCTGTCTACCCCCTAAACTATGGTACCTCGTCTACCTGCTCTTTAAATACATCCAGGGATGGTGACTCCACCACCTCCCTGGGCAGCCTGTTCCAGCTTCTGACGACCCTCTCAGTAAAGAACTTCCTCCTTATCTCTAACCTGAACCTCCCTTGGCACAGCTTGGTGCCGTTTCCCCTTGTTCTATCCCCCATCACCTGGGAGAAGAGACCAGCACCCACCTCTCCACAACCTCCCTTGAGGCAGTTGGAGGTGGTGATGAGGTCTCCCCTCAGCCTTCTCTTCTCCAGGCTAAACAAGCCCAGTTCCCTCAGCCGCTCCTCATCAGGCTTGTTCTCCAGAGCCCTCCCCATCCTTGTGGCTCTGCTCTGAACACGCTCCAGAATCTCAACATCCTTCTTCTAGTGAGGGGCCCAGAACTGAACACAGCACTCGAGGTGCGGCCTCACCAGTGCCAAGTACAGGGGGATGATCACCTCCCTGGACCTGCTGGTCACAGTGTTTTTAATACAGGTTTTATCTTGCTTTTTTATCAAGTATTCTGGCTGTCTCTAGTGGACCTGGCCTACAGAAAGAAAGTTTACATCTGCCAGCACTGTGGTGTTACACAGGATTATGGGATGCTTCCATCCTCCAAACTTACTGATACCTTTTCAAGCCCTTAGTATCTCTGGCTTCACATGGATAGGAAAAAAAAAAAAAGGACACCCCCCGAAAAAATCCAAAAAACAACCCAGCAGTAACCAGAGTGATGCAACCTGTAGTGGGTATTCTGAGGTTCTGCTACAGTTGGGTCACACTGTCTCTATCCAGAGTTTATTTGGACCTAGGGAATAGAAGGCATCCCTTTAGCTTTGTCTCCACCTATGCTGTGTGGATTTTTTGATAGCCCATAGAATCTTTGCACCAGGCAAAAACAAACCCAAACCCCACAGACAAAAAAAATCCCGTCCCACAACCTCAAAATGAGGATCTGTTCGATCGTTTCCGTGCACTGGATTTAATAAAGACTGGTCAGGTTTCGGGGCCACTGACCGGGTGTCAAGGTTTACGTGAACGACTCCTGTTGTGTCAGCAGCGTGCCTGTGGTCAGTGCGGCCATCTAGCGGAATCGGAGGGAAATGCAGCTCAATTATCAATTATCATTGTGGGAAAAGCACCTTCATCTGAAAGCAAGTATGGTTTTTCATCATAATGATAGGATAATGATATAATGATAGGATAATGATATGATAATAGTGGCTCCAGTTGGATTGGTTGGTTGTTTCCCCCTCCTCCCATCATGGTGGTCAAAAAGGTTCATTTCTCAGAATAACTGCCTCCCTCGGTGATGAAATGCTGTCCTGTTGCCATCAGTCTCTACAGAGGTTGTTGATGCAGTGGTCCAGGTCATAGGCATGACTTTTTCAAATCCTCCAAAATCCTTACATAGTGGAATAGGAGATGGCAATGTTCCTTGTGCTTATAAATGACTTTGTGGGGCTGTATTTCTGGAAGCTGTGTGCTACTTAAAGTGCGAAGGGACGCTGGTAAGGCATTTTGATACTTCATCTGTCAAAAAAAGTTACATGGTTCAACATAGAGCTGAATAAATTAGTTTTCCAGGAAATGCTGAAACAAAGCAATTAACTGTAAACTGGCGTTTATTTATGGAAAATGGAATGCTTCATTAACAAACATTTCAAATGGGATATGAACAACACATTACAAAACAGATGAGTTCACATTGTATTGAATGACGTAATATGGCAGCAGCTTAAAAAAAAATTACACAGATAGGAGCCCGTAGGTTACAATTAATGGTAACCCTGGGTAACAGATTAATTTCAGTTGCCATCTTGCATTAAAAATTAAAACACATTCAGTAGCGACGATTGAAACGAGGATCATTAGGTCTGTTTGCTCTCTCCTGGCCAACAAATCCTTCTTGCATTCCTCCTCCGTGCATCATCTGACTTTGGTTGCCACCTTGCATGAAACCTCCTCGCCTAGAAAGTGATTCAGACATTTCAGTTTTCTCTCGTGACTCTGGCAGTTAGGTCGATACAATGGGTGTTCTTCTAAAACTCTGTGAGATTTTTTCCACTCTTCAGTAAGATGCACTACAACTGGGGAAATATTTTATTATTCCTTGACATTTAAATAACAAATCAAACTGATGCTCCCTTAAAACGTTTCTTTGGCCAATTTAAATTGAAGAGACACCCATTATAAAAGGGAAACACTTTGCTCTTTTTAAAGTTCTTACCCTGACATGCCTCCACGATGCATCACGTGGCCAGGTCTGCCTCTACCTCCACCTAAAAAAAGTTCAAATGCTTCCTTTATATCCACAATAACAGTTTTCCTTCATCTCCAAGGGCAATAGTGTCTGCGTTTTCAGCTTCAGGTAACGCAAGTAGTGAGCTGTTGTGTAAGCAGCATACCTTGCCATCTCTCATGATCCCGTCCTATCATTCCTCCATCCACGCTGCTCTGCCATGAACGATCTTGATGTCCTTCAAACTTTCGACTGTGATCTCCCCAGTCACGGCCATCCCTGCGAAAGTTTGGAATTCACACCTTCTCACATTAGCCAGAGCACACAACACAGATTCAAGTGAAAAACTAAGTCACAAACTTAAATACTGTACCAAGGCATATGTACATCTTGTATTTATATTGCTGTTAAGTCAAATCTCAGTAATAAACCTTATGTTCAGTCCAACCAACGTGACAAGAAAGGTTTTCTTAATCTGGTTTATCCTACATCGATGTCCCAGGTTACTCCAGACATTCTAGCTGCTTGTTTTGACCACTCAATTTCTTTTTGCTGTTTTCTGTAGGCTGGCTTACTCATAGGACTTAAAAACACAACACAAATCCTCAAAACACACCCCATGGCCCTCACTCTGAAACCATTTTATTAACTTGTTTTCCTTTCAAAGGGCTTCCAACAACTAGAAACTGGGGAAGAACCACTACCCTGAAAACATCAAATTTTGAGAGAAATGTCAGGTAAAATTCATTTGAAACAAGACTTTCAGATGTGAAGTTACTAAAAAAAGATATATTAAAAACGAATGCCAAGACGCATGTTTTGATGCACAAGGCAAGCTAAAAGAACTACTCATTTGTGGTCCATCCAACGGAGGACAGATTCAGGGGTGAAAGTTGGAAAAAAAGAAACAAATTTCACTTCCAAAAAACTGCATCGCATTTTTGCATACTGAAATATTCCTTAGATGCACAAGCAAAAATACTTCCAGTGAAGCGTACTAACCGTGACTGGGGGGGTATCCCTCTACTTTCACTCATTCTTCTGTCAGATCCATAGCTACCCCAACTTTCCCGAGAGTCTCGTGAATGACGGTCAGGTCCTCCATGGCGCTCATCTGGATAGTGCTAAAAGGCAAAGAACGCTTACAGGACTGCCCAAACCAGACTTTTTAATTGTCTGAAGTTGCTCAGCCTAAATTACTCAATCTCAGAATCATTTAGGATGGAAAAGACCTCCTTTGGTCATCGAGATGGGGACGAGTGGCTGGAAAGGACCTGGGGGTCCTGGTGGCCAGCAGGATGACCATGAGCCAGCACTGTGCCCTTGAGCCAAGAAGGCCAATGGCATCCTGGGGTGTATCAGAAGGGGTGGTTGTAGGGCAGAGAGGTTCTCCTGCCCCTCTGCTCTGCCCTGGTCAGACCACATCTGGAATATTGCGTCCAGTTCAGGACAGTTCCCCCTCAGTTCAAGGGGGACAGGGAATTGCTTGAAAGAGTCCAGCACAGTCCTGGTTTCAGCTGGGATAGAGTTAAATTTCTCCCTAGTAGCTGGTACTGTTTTGGATTTAGGAGAATAATGTTGATAGCACACTGATGTTTCAGCTATTGCTGAGCAGCACTTTAAGTCAAGTACTTTTCAGCATCTCATACTGCCCTGCAAGCGAGAAGGCTAGGGGTGAATGAGAGGCTGGGAGGGTACACAGTCAGGACAGCTTACCCAAACTGGCCAAAGGATCTCATGTATGATGTCGTGCTGAACATGCTGACCAATAAAGCTGGAGGAATTTAGCCAGGGGGTGGCAGTGGCTGCTCAGGGACTGGCTGGGCATCAGTCAGTGGGTGGTGAGCAATTGTATTGTGCATCACTTATTTTTTTAAAAAAATATTTATTTTATCTTCCTTTTCTGTCCAATTAAACTGTCTTTATCTCAACCCACAAGTTTTACCTTTTTCTAATTCTCTTTCTCCATCCCACTGTGGGTAAGGAGTGAGCAAACAGCTGTGCACTGTTTAGCTGCCAGCCAACTTAAGCCACAACACAAGGTTATAAGAAATTAAGAAGTTTCAGTAGCTTTATAAAGCAACTCACTTGTCCATCCCGGTCGCCCATCATTGTCCTTGATCCATCTCTCCTACAAACAGACAATTAAAATCAGACTGTGGTAGTGAAACAAATAACAGTCTATAAATATCTACCTATGTAACAACACAGATAAAAAATCTTGCTTCCATGTGGTATCAATATTATCTACAAAAGGTATAAACAGATGGAACATTTGGAAACCGTGACACATTTTGGATTCCTGGAAAACCTAGTTAGTCCTGAGGTACAAACGAGAATGTTCTCGTTAAGATGCTAGGTGTCTAGAATATTATTTAGAAATTTTTCAGAATCCTACAAATGTGTGAAACAGCATTGCAAGCCTGCAATGGGAGGCTTAACTCATGGCACAGCACAGATCTCTTCATGGTTATAATGGAAAAAGTCCACAGCCACTAAGCCACATTTAAAAAATAAAATGCAAACCAAACACACAGTAAAGGCAGCAAAATGTGACATTAAAGACATTTTTGTCCTTTGATTTCAGGCAACATGCCAGAGGTAAGACAACAACCTGTCTATTGAATGGTCTTGGTAACGGCCACGATCCCTGTGATCAAAGTCGTGGAAACGATCCTGGCGACTGAAGTCTGAATGGTACCTATCATTCATCGTCATGCGTTTTGCCTCTGGCCAGTAAGGATCATCTCTCCTAAAAGAAAGAACATACTCATTTCAGTCAAGATAATAACTTTTGCTATTGTTCCCTCCTTCCAAACTGTGCAAACCAGAAGGGTAATTAAGTTCAAAAGGGAGTTGAAAAGTGTCAGAGAGGATAGTTTGGGGTTATAAACATAATCACCTCAATGCAATCAACAACTGCTGATCAATGGAAGCTGAGAGCACATGGATAGCTTTTCATGGCACAGGCCGATAAGACAAAATCTGGCAGCATCATTTGTATCTGCTGTCCTCACCTGCCATCAATGTCATATGGTCTCCTCATTGCAGATCGACGTTCTTGTTCGTAGCGCAGCTGCTCATGCTGGCGTCGCAGCTCTTCTCTTTCTCGCTGAATGCGATCCTGTTCTCTCCTCCTTTCATGCTCTATGTGCATTCGTTCTCTTTCCAGTCTTTCTCTTTCCATCCGTTCTCGTTCAAGACGCTGCCTTTCAATTTCCAGTCTCTCACGAGCGATCTCAAGCCTCTCCCTTTCCTGTCGTTCCCGGATGGTCTGCAGGTGTTGCTGTCTCTCCCGACGCTCACGTGTGCTATTTTAAACAGAGGGGCGGGGGAAAAAAAACAAACAAAAAACCACCACGTAAATCCCCCCTCTTTATTTTTTTAGTCATTTTAATAACAAATAAAACCCATTTCCATTCCTGGGGGGAGGAAGGGGGGAAATAATTAAACAATTTTGCTGTTGCTCTTACCGGCGCTGCTCTGCCTCCCTCATTTTTCGCTGTGCTTTTATTTTGTCAAATGGCACAATGCCTTGTCTCTCTCTGCTCTCTGATTTGCGATCCTGGCTCTTAATGCTCTGCATTTAATATTGAAGTAGAGAAACTTTAATAGAGTATGTTCATAAAAGGACAACTATCACCAACAGTACTCTGAGCTCTGTTTCCATTCATACGTATCACGTCTCCACATTTTTTAAAAAATCTGTTCTTTTTTGAACATTCCAGACACACCATTGATTAACACAGTGATACTTACTTTCCCACATCTGTCTGGCAGGATGTCATTGCTCGGTATGGCATCAGCCGTACTAGAAGTACGTTACCAATTAAGATCTAAATCCACATTACAGAAACTATTTGGACAAATTGGTTAAGACAAGCATGGGCTGGTTACGTGTTGCTTGGCAGGATTCAGTATTTGTTTCTAAGGAAAACTGACACACAACGCTCCCTGTGCAGAAACATTACTTACTCTGTCTTTTGATGTAGTCGATGTTTTCACACTAATAACGGGCTCTCCTTTGGATTTATCCATTACCACTGTTCTCTCTGTTGCTTTACTTCCTAAATAAATTGGAGGTTGAAGTGAAAGAGATGGAAAAAACAATCAAACGACGTAACCTACACCACTCACTGCTATACCTGAAATTATGGTCTCTGAAATGTGAAAACGAGCATTTAACCCCTCTCTTCAAAAGTAATCTTTTCACCACACCTACTTCAGGTGCTTCTGTTAAGGATGACACAATGTCAGACACATTCCCCCTCCATCTCTTTATACCCTCTGGATTTCCAACTAAGAACCAGAAATAATTCCAGAATATTGGCAGTTCTTTGGAAAAAACTATGTGTAATTATTCGTACTTCACCGTATCTTTTGCTCTATGAAAAGAACAGCCAAATTACCTGACTTAATAGTTTTAAGTTGATCTGACGAACCAGACTTCAGTTCATCTTTATCTTTTTTTTCCTTTTCATCTTTGTCTTCTGTCTTTTTAGGATCATCTTTTTGGTCAGACTTCTCATCCCTTTTAACACTGCCAGGTCTGCAGACAGATAGTGACAGAGATGAGACTAATGCAGAGTAAGAGAAAAGAAAATTAAAGGAGAATGCACAGTAACAAAGTAGAATTCTGACTGATGACAGTCATCATCAGATTTCCACAGATTTCCTTCAACGACCATAAAACAGATAACCAGACCATGCTGTGCAGTTGCCATGAAAACTTGGCTGTGATGTGGCTATCTCAACTGGAAACAGGAACAAAAATTCACACCACGATGTGCTCAATGCCCACACAACATGACAATTATGAAGAGCCAATGTGAAACCTTTTTGTCAAGCGACTAGGTGAAATAAAGGCAAAAGCTTCTCAGCAAATACCAGAGAATAATAATAATAGGAGTTATGCCTCAAGAAGATAATTAAAGCAAAGGACTCAATGTCTTTTTCAGCTACTTTCAGTATTGCTAGAAAGAAAAAGCAGAGTGTTGAAGTATTCTGGAAAGAGGACCTTGGACAACTGATCTTTAACTGTTTGTGAGCACAGCAACATGAGAAAGCCCTATTCCAATGATAGAAAAAATTAACAAGGCAACAGTGACATTCTCAAATGGCCTTTCTACAGAATTATGATATGAAAGCATCACAATCTTTACTAAAACCCAAACATAACCAAATTAAAAGGTATGCTTGAAAATGCAACATTCCAATGCCTACCCTAAAGCACGTAACAGAAATGTGTCGTTAGGCACTGAACATCAACAGGAGTTGATCTTGTAGTAGAAGCTGGAAAAGTGGATCTATGGCCCCTTCTGAATGTTTGCTACAGAAATTGTCACTAACTTTGTTTTTCCTAACAAATCAACACAGACTGAAGAACAGCAAAACACCTTTTCACAGAGAAATGCTGCAAAACAGTACCTCTCACTGTCTGTTTCTTTCTTTACTTCATTCTCCTTTTTCTCACTTGGCTTCTTCCCAGCAGGTTCATTTTTTGCCTGAAATTTCACACAGAATATTACGAGTTGGAAGGGACCTCAAAAGCTCATCCAGTCTAACCCCCCTGCCAGAGCAGGATCACCCAGACCAGGTTACGCAGGAATTTTTTTTGCACGTCATCAGCTGAGAATGTGGTCTTGATCATCTGTACAGTCTGATGGCAAAGGAATGTCTTTGAGGATCAGTACTCACTTTTTCTACAGAAATTATTTTCCCATGTAACTCTGTTTTGTGGAGGTGAGTAATACACTTTGTTGCCTCCTCAGCTGTAGACATCGTAACAAAGCCGTAACAGCGAGCACCAGGACTGCGAGCATTGGTGACCACTTTTGCACCTACCACCTTTCCAAAAGAAAGAGGCGTTACTCACTGTAACAAATGCCCACCATTTAACAGCAAAAGTACAAGCTTAATTTCTACTGTTTTATTCCTGACCATCATCATTCAGGAAACTTCTATTTGTAAGAGACTAACAAATACAAAAGCACCATTGCTTAGAGCCAATCATGCTTCTGTTGCCAGCGCAATGCTGCAGAAGCTGAACCAATAGATGGGAGCCAAAGACTGAATTCTACCCTGAAGAAAGCTCATAAAAGAAAAAAAATTAAATCAACATCATTTTGCTTAAGTGAGTAAAAGCCTAATAAAAATTTTAAGCTAATTTCCACCCACACACTAATGCTTTCTCAACTGTTAAGTCCCATTTACCCTCAAAAAATGTTGTCATGTCACTGCTAAAAGGCTGACCCACACTGTTTTCAGAAATGGTGCTTACTTGTGCTCACGTATTCAGTACAGCTCACGTTTTCACCACAGAAATCAATCTATTTCACAGAAGTGTCATATTTTGAAGTACAGCTGAATAAAAAACCATACTTCTGAGCACTTTATTTATTGCAGATCTACATCTACTTCTGGGAAACTTCTAATACTCCAAAGTAACAGTAATTTTATTTAAATGACTAAACACTATCATGGCATCTAAGTAGAGGCAAATACTAGGTTGGCTGTCACATAGTTTTAAACTACGATTAAATTGTGGTACATCCCTATGATCAACGTTCCAGGTTACCAGACAGAATTCTGAACAAATAAATGGCAGGAAAGTATTGCATTTTTACTGTGACGAGGAACGTTAAAGAGGTTTTAGAGCAGTCTCACGACTTTGAGACAAACTCAAAGCTGTGCTACGCTTAATCCATTTTTGTACCTATCGTAAAGTCACATTTCTAGTGAAGTTCTAGAGTACTCTCATTAGTTAAACACTCAATAGCAGATTGCTAGCGCACACAGTTTCCTTTTAGTACAATGTGCTGACGGTCATCTTTAAACAGGCTTCAAAGATCTGACAAAAAATCCTTACTGATGTCTGTGAGACCAGTCTTGTACTAAGCTACCTCTTTCCATTTCCCCACTGGCAGGTAGATTTAACTTGCCATTTTGTCTGTATTTAACAACAACCGCAGGAGAACTCCACACACAAAACCAAAGCAAACAAAAAAACCTCCTCAAGCTACCGAAGTAAGTGCTTTCTAAAGCAACTACCAACTCTAGACAAAAATGAAACTGCGGGTACCAAGGTAATTCTTAAGATATTCCCCAATAATTATGTTTCAACACTTACTGCATGTTTTACTTAGTCCTAAGGGAATCTTTAATAAACAATAAGCAATATTAAATTTACTGTCAACTAGGAGTTCCCAACGGGTCAAGACACTACAGTGCAGCACAGGAGACAGAAGTACTGTGAACAACCACGGACGGTTTCAAATAAAGGAATGGAATTTTACTTTTGTTTGGAAGTGAGCGACAGAATAAAAAAGCAGTCATTCCCCGTGTACTTCTACTTTTTTTCCCCTTGATATCCCACAATATTTTTGGTATTTTGATTTTTCTCTTTCACTGGTATTTTCAGTGACAGGAGCTTACAAAGTTTTATTAAAGACAGTTTCAAGTGAAAAAACCCACACCAAGCACAAAACCCCCCTTACCTTCCCATATTTGCTAAACAGATTCTTCAAATCCGTAGCTCTGGTAGCAGAAGCCAGTCCACTCACCCAAAAGTTTCTACCAGAACTGCTAGCAGTGCGACCTAATTAGGAAAACAAACAAGACCAAAACATACCCAAAATCCTAATTATTTCAACAACTACTTCTCAATTAAAAAGGAGCAGTTCCACAAATGTTTTTATTTTTGAAAATCACAGAGCAAATTAAATGCAACACATAACATTCTGTCCCCGTGATTCACATTGCTGAAGGCAAGCAGTATTGCAAATCCAAAAACTTAAGATGGAACTACAACATTTGGTATGTGCAACAGAAATAGGTTATGTCATCCTTCTAGAAACTGGACTAGGGCATCTAACTGTGGCTCTTCAGAATGTGCCTGGATACATCCCAGCACCTCTACACTTACAGGAAAAGACAGAAGATCTAGATGCTAGAGTTGCAGTAACAGTGTCAGCATCCAAGTATGCTCGTGCCTTGACCTCTTTATCTCCCTGACTTCAAATGGATGATAGGATGCAGATTAACTGTACCTCTCAAGGAAAGACATTCACCACCAAGCAAGCAAGGAAATGTCTCTATTTCTGCCTACGCAGGTTGCACAGTTGGGGTATGAATCCTGTGACTTCAGTTAGAGGAGTCAGAAAAGACCTAGCTTTCTTTAACTATGCAAGAACTACAGTGCACCGATCCAATTTGGCATCTAAACCAGAAAGATAATTTCACAAATGCTTACATACTTCTGAAGTCTCAAAAAACAACATCTAGTGACTAAGTCTTTGAGCTGAACTCCAACTTTTAGTGTTTGCATTTCAGCATGAAGCACTTATGCAGGGACACTATTTCCAGTCTCTTCTGAAATGTCTTTACTGTCATTTTATCAGTCTTGGTAGTGTTCAGTTCCACAGGCTTCAATGAATCAAGTGAAGCAGGTTTCAGTCCAGTTACCTGCTTTCAATCGATCTTTTTCTTCCAGAACCTTTCTAAAACGCTATTTTATTTGGGTGTCTTTTCATCTCTTACTTCCTGATAATTTTTGTCATTGTCTTAAGCAAACAGTTTAGGACTAAGAACATTGTCGTTAATACCTATGCAGGTTCCCTAAGGAAGCATGCAATCATTTGTGCCAATCTCTAAAAAAACCCAACCCTAAAACCCAACCAACCAACCAAGAAACCCCAGGTCTTTTGTATAAAGGAGACCAAGTCTACACCTGTCATCTTCTAGTCTAAAGAACCGCATGGAAAAATGTGTGTCGTGTGTGCAAACACATGGGAGAGCCGTAGGCTTTGATGCTTTTCCTCTACATGCTTCCTCTAGAATTTTAAAACCATCACTGCAATTAGCACCAGCATCCTGGAGAAAGAGAAAAATGAGCACTTTCTTCTATTTTACTGATGATTTTTTAGATTATCTAAACGATATTAATGTTATTTCTGAATAAGCTTCAATCACTCTTAATATCTCCAGTCTCTGCCTTCCTGTAAGAATTAAAAGAGTTGCTCCTGCAATGGTACTGCAAGTCCAAGACAAAGAGACTGGGACTATAAAATCTTCTCTAACTCAGAAACTAGAATGATACAGGTATTGGGAGCAAACCCTCCATACTGCAGACAGCTTTCAGACGTGTGTAAACTGACTGCAAAGTCCATCAGACTTATGATCTCACACATTTATTTTTCTACACTCTTATTAATACAGCCTTCATAATGAATTCATGGAACATGGAAAACTCCTAATGTTAAATAAAATCCTTTCACAGAAGTGTGGAAATAGCAATGTATGAATCAGAACTGACTTGTATACAGTTCTGTACCTTTCTTCTGGCTCAACCGCTCTGCATGTGGAGAATGTAACATAATTAAGAAGCTACTTCTCCCCAGCGCTGCTTACTAAGCCAGAAAATGATTTAAACAAATGCTATAGGACACAGCACATCCTTTGGAGGAAGGTATGCAGAGGCAAGTTTGCTATCAGACACTCAAGTTCCTGAAGGCTGTTTTGAATGCAAACTTCAGGAAGGGTTTTCCCAGTCGACAAAAAGACACTCAAGTCCTTGGGCAAATGAGAGCATGTACAACACACTCCTTTAAATATTCTGAGAGACCCTAATGGAGCTGATGATGAGGTCCAATAGTTTGCACAGACAGATATAACCCCAGATCTTGGAAAAAGCAGCTGACAATGAGTTCAGTCTGTGTTGTAAATCCCAACTAAAAGCAAAGAAATTCTTTCCTGTGCAGTAAGCACACAGATCTCAGGCATTTCTTGCCTATTACAGAACTTGCTGGAACTTCCACGCTTACAGTGCTGAAGTACCAGCCTGCAGTATGTAAGAACATTAACAGTCAGTTCTAAATTTTCTGCCCTGGTCATGTGGGAGAGAAAGAGAGGTGGCGTGAGATGCAAAGACTCAGCAGCCTGACGCCCTGGTCATGTGGGAGAGGAAGAGACGTGGCGTGAGATGCAAAGACTCAGCAGCCTG